CCTATCTCTGTATATGGAAATAATAAAGATGTAAGTGGAGCTCAGTGGAATGGAAAAGGTCAATAAAATTGGCAAACTTCTATTTACTCAAGTAAGTAGGAATAGAGAAGATGAATGATCACTATCAAAAATGCGAGTAGGGAACATGACTACAGAGATTCAACAAATACCATGAGCAACCTTATAAAATGAATTTCAGCAGCTTAGATGAAACGAGCATAAACCATTGTGATATAATAAGCAATGCGTATTTGAATTGGCCTCTCCTCCACGAATGACGTTTCTGAAACACTTGTCATTTCCTGATTAATAGGGGAGCTACATTCATCTTTTGTTCAAATGCTTGATCGTTTACCCCAGTTCCTGGTGCAAAGCTCCTAATCCTTTCCTAGGCAATACTGGGCAGCAGGAGTATCTTTTTATAATAGTGGAATTTAATAGATGAATTAGCAGAAGAAGCCAGTTGGAGGAGATAAAGAGGCCTAGCTGACAGCTTCCTTTCAGAGTCCTACAGAGGAACAAGTCAATGTGAGCAGATGCAGAGATAACAAGAAATGCTGGAAAGAATTCCTTTCTTTTCAAGTTTCTGCAAGTGTTCTATACAAAGTTAGTGTGGTTTCTTTCTTACATGTCTAGTAAAACCCCCACTAAGGAGACAATGGATAATTGATCCATTAATTTAATTAATGGTATATGTTTTGGAGTCCTCATAAGGTCTGGTCACCAGGAAGATCAAGTCAGTTAGAAGCTTGGAGCTGTCAATCCTACCTGCCCCTCCTCTTCCCTCCTCCCCTGCCCCCCCCCAAAAGGAAAGGAGCTAGAGGTTGAGCTAATAGTCCACCATGTTTGTATTATGAAGCTTCCATGGTTACCCCTAAATGCAGGGTTCACATGACAGCACTGAGAGTGTAGCATGCTCAGAGACAGATTGAGGGATCTAGACCCTTCCCTCATACCTTAACCCTCTGTATATCTTTATCTTGCTATTTAACTGTATCATTTACCATCTCCTTTATTATTAGTGGTATAATAAACTAGCAGATCTAAGTGTTTACCTGAATTGTGTGACCTGCTGTGGCAAATTGTTGAATAAAAGGAGTGGGGGCAGTAGAAACTCCCTTACTTACGTCAGTTGTCAGAAGTATGCCTGACAAGCCTGAGTTCCACATCTGAACTGAGGACAGTTTTGTAGGGCTTACACTTTAACCTGTGGGAGGTAAATAGCATTTGTTTGTCCCAGTACTGGGGCATGAACTCAGGGTCTAGGCATTGTCTCTTAGCTCTTTTGCTAAGCCTAGCATTCTACCACTTGAGCCATGGTTCCACTTCTGGCCTTTTGGTGCTTAACTAGAAATGAGACTGTCCAGCTCACACCAAGCCTCAGATCTTAAATCTCCTCTGAGTAGCTATATTACAGGTGTGAGCACCATGCCCGATGGTAACTAACTCTTCAGCACAAAATATCTAGTGTCACAATTGAATCCAAACTTGGTGCCCTCTGTTAGTATCCACTGGTGAAGTGATTGCTTGGTTTGTGGGGAATGGAAACCTATCTCCTCTGACATTTCAACGTCCAGACATATGAAGTGTGAGAGCAGGAAACATGATTTTGTTTTTCCAATCTGACAGAGGCAAGTTCCTTAAAAGACACACCCTATCAAAACTTCTCAAAAGAAAAACAGACCCCTCCCCCAAAAAACACCCCAACAACTCTAGGCCCTAATGGCCTCATTGGGGGTTTTACTAGACATCTAAGGTAGAACTCACACTAACTCTATATAGAACACTTTCAGAAACTTGAAGGATTTCTTTCCAGTGCTTCTTGTTAACTCTCTACCTTGTCACACTGGCTTGTTCCTCTGTAGGAAGAGTACTACAGCAAGAGGGCTATCAGCTAGGTCTCTATATCTCCTCCATACTGGCTTCCTCTACTAATTCCGTCTCAAATCAGTGTCATTTCCTCCAAGGAATAACCTTTCTGAGACTAAATTAACATTCCCAGTCCAAGGCAAAATGACTCTTGGAAGTGAATGAGATATACTGAAAGTCACTGATCTGAGTGTTTTTGAGTAATACAAACGCAAAGCCCAACTATTTAATTAGAGGTCCTTGAATTTTCCTCAAGAATCATCTGCAATCAACAGAATCCTTCTGTGCAAGTGGTGTTGGCAAGCTTCTATTTTGAAAATAAATATTGAGCTTGCTTTTTTTAACCCATCAGCTGAGCACCCAAATATGCAAATTTCATGAGCAGCATAAGTATGCACATTATGCACAAAACAGTATATTAAGATAAATATACAAGTTATGTTCATATAAAATGAAAAATGGGATTTTTTCCATTCATATTAATGCATCATAGTCCCAAGAAAAATTATATCTTTGTGGGCTGGAAAGGTGGCTCAGTGGTAGAGTGCTTGCCTTGCATGCATGAGGCCCTGGGTTCGATTCTTCAGCACCACATAAGCAGAAAAAGCTGGAAGTGGCGCTTTGGCTCAAGTGGTAGGGTGCTAGCCTTGAGCAGAAGACCTGAGGGACAGTGCTCAGGCCCCATGACCGACAAAAAAGAAAGAAAAGAAAAATTATATCTTTGTGTGTGTATGTGGTGTGTGTGTGTGTGTGTGTGTGTGTGTGTGTGTGTACTGGGGCTTGAACTCAGGGCCTAGGCACTCTACCTTATGATGTTCTACCACTTGATCAAAATAGAGCTGTAGCTCAAGAGGCAGAGTGCTAGCCTTGAGCAAAAAAGCTCAGGGATAGCACCCAGGCTATGAGTTCAGGCCCCAAGACACTCTCCCTCCCTCTCTCTCTCACAGACACACACACACACACACACACACACACACACAATTACATCATTAACCTTTTTAATCTCTGAGACTCATAAGCATTATGATTAATTTTCAGAGAAGTTTTGAATTAGATTTAAATTACCAATCATTTTTGTCTTGAAGAGATATATCTGTAGTTCAGGGTATATTCTTCTTTATGTTATTTTAGTCTTAGCTCTGCAAAGGGAAGTTTCTAAACTATTGCACAAAGAATTGTGCACAAGGTAAGTAATAGGACTTGTGATTCTGATGCTGGACTTAAGAAGAAAGGAAATTTAGAGTCAAAGACTGAAACTTTTTATAGTAGTCATTTGTGTAACAGGTTTGTGAAACTATGTGCTAATACTATGTACTGATTAAATTGCACAAAGCATACAATAATACATTCAACTTTTCAAAGTGAAAATTGTGTGTAAATGGGAAAATGTGGCATTATTTCACCTAAGAGAATTCTTTAAATTAGATAGGTATTCAGTAAATTGAAATCAGGCCTTCATTGTACTTCCATTGTCTTCCATTCTGTCCAGTCTTAGTAGAGATGGTGGTGGTAAAAAGCATTTTGACATTTCACCCAATTCAAAGATAACCCTCCAGAGGAAATAATTCAAACTACATGCAAAGACTTAACTATAGAGATTTTAGTTACACCATTGTTTATAGTTTTGAAAAGCCAGGAACTATCTAAGAATCCATTGATGTAGGAATTAAGCAAATGGTATATTGTCTGCACAATAAAGGAATGTAAAGTTATGAGCATTAGTTTTTAGGAAGACTGCTTAATGTTGTGGGAACAAGCTCCTGACATAACAATGCTAAGTGGAACAAAAGGATATTGTTATATTCAGTATGATCTTAATTAGGAGGTATAAACAATTTTCCATAGAAGAAATATGTTCACAGCTGTTCATTCTAAGGAGTATATTGTTGCTTTTTGGTATTTTACAAGTTTTCTTAGAAAAATTGTGTATTATTTTTATAGCAATAAAAAAGAAAAGCCAACGATGGTGGTAACTTTAAGTGTTTAATCTTATTGTATTTAGCTTTGGAGAGCAGGAAGGACCCCTTGAGCCTGGGCCTCTGGCTGTGAGAGCCGGGGGTGGCTTGGAGGGAGAGTAATATTTCTCACTGATTGTGCCCTCAGCTGGTCCCTAAAGTGCTTAGTCTGATCATTTGCTGGCTGTGAACTTGCTGGTCAGAGGGTCTGGCTGTTGTTCTTGTCTTTGACCAATACAATTATATTATAAAATACAATTAACGCATGAACGTGCCTCGTATGGGGTTCTGACATTTTGAAATGTGAGGCAGCAATCCATTTCCCAGTGGATTTCGATCCATTTGCAGGTCATGCAATCATTTCCGTGGATCGCAGCCCTGCAGCTTCCCTCTGAAAATGAAAGGAGAATCTAAAAGAAAATACCAGAATGTATCGCACAAAACAGTCCTTGTGTAAATTTTAACCTCAGGTGTGTGTAGGTAATTAAAAATGTGCTTTGGTATGGTTTAGTTCGAGTTGGGTTTGGGGCTATGGATTACAGTCCATCAAGTCCCTTCATGTGATCTAGAGTGCTGGTTCTCTGTGAGCTTGGGAGCGGGGGCACTCATGCCACTGGTGAAAGGCACATCAGCTTCACCCACATCTACCTACCAAACCACCCCTCTACTGGATCCACCGTGCTGGTGGGCCTAGCACTCAGTGGCTTAATCCACACCATCACTAATAGATCTGATGCACATTCAGCTTCCAGGGCCTCTTGTCCTTGTCTTGAGCCTTCAGGTACCCTCTCAGACAGTGCTAACATCAACTGTGACCTAGATAGAAATGCAGGGTCTTCGACCCTAACCTGGCTGTGCTCTACAAGAGCCGCAGGTGATCTCCATGTACACAGTAAGCCCCAGGTGCTCTCCACACACCTGCCTCTAGCAACCACGTAGATAATATCAGTGAGAGAAGTGGGCCTGGCTTCCCTCCTAAGGCGGGTAGAGCTGGGTGAAGGCAGCAAGGCTGGGCTATGAAGTTGAGGCCTTCTTCATTTGTTTCCCAATTTCCCTTTTTATGCCAGTTCCAACCATCGACTAAGATTCGCGGTGCTTGCCATCACTTACTTCACAGATTTTTCAACATGGATTTTAGTAGCATGACTTCATGTTCACTTCTTTGATCTCTTTTAGGAATTTATCAAAGAGCTACTCTCCAAGATAAGAGGCATGAGGAAGCTAAGCCCTCCACAGAGGAAGAGCATATGATTCTGGAACAGGGTAGAACTGTCTCGGAGACGAAGAAAGGGTCCTGGGGTTTGAACTTCATGAAGACTTATTAAACAACAGTTGTCCTTCTGAACAACTTCTTTTTGGTGTGTGTGTGGGGAGGGGGATTTATTAGACATTTATTCATGAGCGTTCCTTTTCATTGTCGTTTCTAAAGGTTTTCACTAGTGTAATATCTTAATAGCAAAGGTATCACGGCTCTGACTGCAGCCCAGCCAAGGATTATCAAGCAGGTGGATGTCCAGTGATGAACCAGGCTGGGCGGTGTTTTCTGCAAGGACTTAGATGTTTAGGACCTTAACAATACAGGGAAGATGGTTTTCTTACAACCAGTTTTTCCCCCCCTTAGGTTGTACATTTTGGCTCAGATGTCAAGTTTCTTGTTCTTGTATATATCTACGCAACAAGTTAAACTGTAGATGTGAGTTTTATTTCACATGGATGGGATAAACTTGTGCTCGTCTTAAGGAGGGAGGTCACAGCACTCGGCCTTTTTCATGGGAGTGCTGTTGACCCTCAGCGTTCACTTTCTGCACCAAAGTGGAAGAACTCAGTGTATCCGTTATTTTAATGAGCTTACACTACAAAAAAAAAAATCTGTTGAGTTGGTCAAGGGCTTAATTTATGGACTCTCTGTCGTTTCCTTGGTTAAGATGCTTCGCCAGGTCATGTACTTATTGCCTCATTTGTGGTCTTTTAAAAGTTCTATGATCACTTAATTCAAAAAACTAACATACTTTCTAGAGAAATGTCCATACTTTCTAAGTAGTGATTTGTCATGGAAAAGGGAGGTTGTGTGTAGTAATAGATTTCGCTGCTTTCAACGCACAAAAAACAAAACTGTGTATCATTCTGTTTGTGTGAAAGCAGGTAAGAAGGAAAGAAATTGGTTGGGCATCTTCCTCCTTCAAAGTAGATTCTAGTCCCTTTTGTGCCTGGTTAGCATCAGAGCAGAGTTGAGAGCTGAGGGTTGAGCAAGTGCAGGGATGGGCAAGGCCTTGCCTTCTCTCCAGGCACTCGAGGAAGCAACACTTGCTGGCCTGGAAGTATGGATGTCCTTTGTGGCTTCTCTCAGTGGTTCAGAATGGAAACTCTGTGTGTTCCTGCTCCTCGGTCTGACCTTGACCTCCATGCTTAGAGGTAGGCCTGAGCACCTGTCTGCCCCCTCCATTATTACATACTAACTCTTTGGAGAAGAATTAGAATTCAGATGAGATGTGGGCAGGGTAACAGGTAAAAGTACAAGCTCTTCCATTCATGCGTCCCTGCGGCCTCTTCCTGGAAACCCCACCTACTGTAAGATGTCTCCAGGTGGTCCTGTCTGAGGACAGGGACCAGGCATTTTATATCAAGGGTGCTTTGAACATATTTTATTTTTTAAAAGAACTACGTTTGTGAATTTTACGTATACTGGCAAGCTTTTGGAAATGTATTTAATTTTGTAATGTTTACCAATGATTTATTTACAAGCTTATTTACTCAAATAAATGGAGCTGCTTACAAATCGGTTTGCTTCTGTGCTTTGTAGAATCTAATAAGGTGGTGATTTTATGTTGTTGGGTTAAGACAGATGAGAGCACCAAGTACCCTCTCATAAAGCTGATTTTTTCATCTTCAAACTATTTGCAGAGATTTAATCCTTGCTCTCTCCCGAAGTGGCTTCATGTTGGCTGCTGGAAGTAAAGGTGTTGGGACACATGTTGGGGCTAGAAAAGAAACAAGAAGAGCAATGTGTACTCTGCCAGGCTTCTATTCCAGCCCTCTGCTAGGCCACACCGCCCTCATTTTATTAAAACTCCCCTCTTCCCATCTGAGAGAAATGTACAAGATTTCAACCTAATAAAATATGTCAGTTATTGTTAGAGTGTCACACATTGTATAACTCAGGATAGTGAAGGATTTTCAGGATTTCTACTAGACTTGACCAGCCCAAGATGTGATCTTTAGAAGAAGCAAGAAATGACTTTTGACCTTGCCTGGTAGTTTAAGCCTATAATCCCAGATACTTGAGAGGCTGAAATAGGAGGATTATGGCTCAAGGGTAGGCCAGGCAAAAACCTCAGCAAGACTTTGCCTTACAGAACAAGGTCTGCCTGGTGTTGCATATCTGTAACTGCATCTAGGCAGTTAGAAGGATCATGGTCTCAGGCTGGTCTTGGGCAAAAGCATAAGACCCTATCCGAAAAATAAAGCAAACAAAAAGGAAAGTTGGGGGTGGGGGGAATGGCTCAGGTGACAGTGTCTGTTTAGCCAGTAGGAGGCCCTGAATTCAAGTCACAGTATGGATAAAAATCCCTATAAAGGTCTCAACTACAACCAGCCCGGCTTCCTCCCTCCCATCCTTCTTTAGGCAGCATCTGAGATCTTCTGAGGATTTCCCCAAGGAGTTTTGTTCTTAAGACACCAAGCTTGTCTTCTGCTGGCATGTCTTCCATGCTCCCATGTCGGTTAACTGACTGCTGCCTCTTGGAATCCATGTCCAGTCTTGTGTCTCTCCTGTTTTCTGCTGAGTAGTGAAGTGTCCAGAGCACTGCACCCTACCCTTTACTTTGAAGTCTACTTCTCTGACAGAGAGAGCACCTGAGAGGATAGAGAGGAGAGGAGAGAGAGAAGAAAGGAGAGAGGCAGAGAAGAGAGGATAACTATCTTTACCACTTCCTTCACACACACACACACACACACACACACACACACACACACACACACACGGCAGAAACAGAGATGGAGGGAGGGAGGGAGAGAGAGGAGATAGATAGAGGCTGAACTTCACAGCAAGTGAGAGATTGAGAGCCAAAGAGTGCTAGAAATAAGAACAGCAAAGGGGTGTGTGTGTGTGTGTGTGTGTGTGTGTGTGTGTGTGTGTGTGTGGCTTGTGCTGCCACCACATCTTCAAAATATCTGTGCCTAGTACATGTGGAGAACCAGTCTGGGGACTTGGAGGTCTAGGCCCATAGGAAGACATTTCCTGTCTCCTGTCTGCCTCCTCTCCAGATCCAGAAGTTCTTTTTCTGGATAACAGTTTCTTCCTGAGTTTCTACCCCAGGTGCAAGTATCACCCATCTACAGAGAAGTGCCACCTCCCAGGAACCTGCAGACTGGTCCGGGCCTAGGCCTCAGGACTTTTTCTCCACCTGCCTTTCTTCCCTTGGGTTCTCCTGCTCACAAGCTCTGGGATGGATTTTTCTCACCTGCTCAGTTTCACATGTCTGCATCAATGGCCAGTACCTGGCCCACTCCGTGACCTTCCATCACCCATCATTCTGCCTAAGATATCACTCAAACAAATGAAGACAAACGTGAATCATGGTGTACCGTACAGAGCAGTGAGTCCAAGGAAAGTTCACACTCAGCCATCTTTTCCCTGAGAAAACAGAATCATGAGAATAAAGCCTTGCCCTTTGACAAGGCATTTTTTATTGTCTGCATTTTTTTGGTATTTAATATCTGTGCAAATCATAAAGCTATGTGGGAATTTCAATTCCATAGAATATTTTATACTTTCTAGGAACAAGTAAGCTTTCAATTGCTCTTTTTTTCTTTTTTCTTTCTTTTCTTTTTTCTTTTTGTCAGTTGTGGGACTTGAACTCTGGGCCTGGGTACTGTCCCTCAGCTCTTCAGCTCAAGGCTATCACTCTACCACTTGAGCCACAGAGCCACTTCCAGTTTTCTGGTGGTTAATTGGAGATAAGAGTCTCACGCATTTTCCTGCCTGGACTGGCTTTGAACCATGATCCTCAGATCTCAACCTTATAAGTGGCTAGGATTACAGGTGTGAGCCACTGGCACTTGGCTTCAATTGCTCTTTGCTTGTTTTATCATGGGTCTCAAATCCAAAGTACTGCTCCTTAATTTATGGTTTTTATGCGAAGAAACAAAAACGCTAAAGATACTTACATTTTTTATTACCTTTAAGAAGTTGTACAAAGGAGGTGCCATTTAATAAAGAGTTTATGAATACAATGCATCTGGATCAGTGTCACTCTCCCCCCCCTTTGATCCATCCCTTCTTTTTTGTAGCATATACAATGAACTCTTGACTACATTCTTCCCCTTGGACCCTCCTGCATTTGTCTACTCCTCTCTCCTTGGCCTCATCCCCGCCTTGAAAGTGCCTATTTCCTGTTGCTTGCTTTGTTAGGTTTTGACCTAGTTTTTCTAAAGAATTGCAGTATTTGAGCAATCCATAGAGTCTATACTTCAGTTCATTCATTTGAAACCACTTGCATACCACTCATCAGATTTGTTTATAGAGAGAAACCAACCTTTGTTTCTCTGGGTCTGGCTTACTCAATATAATTTTTCCCAAGTCTTTCCATTTTCTTACAAATGGTACAATGTCATTCTTTCTGATGGGTGAATAAAAGTCCATTGTGTATATATACCACATTTTCCATTGTATATTTACCCCATTTTCTTCATCTATTCATGCATTGAAGGGCATCTTGGCTGATTCCATATCTATTCACTATGGCCAATAATGCTGCAGTGAATATGGTTGCACTGGTGGCTTTACTTTAACCTTGTTTGTATTTTATTGAATAAGTGCCCAATTGCCACCATACACAGAAAGTAGGTCACACATTTAATGTTAGGACCAGAAGTTGCCCTGGCTGAAGCAATAGTTCAGCCTTTCTTGCCTGAGACCAAGAATAACTCAACCATATAATGAAACAGACAGGCACATTTCTAACGAACTCCAAAGTCGGAAGGCAGAAAATCTACAATCCCCATTTTGTTGCCAACAACCAATATCAAATAGTGATGATTGTCCAAGGAAAAACAAGCAGAGCTGAGGAGACTTTGAAGTCATAACCACCCATCAAAGCAATCGTTTCACACAGCGACTCCATTTATTACTGGGAGCAATTTTTTTGTGTGTTGTCAGAGTGGTAGGAAAGTCCTTGGGGCTTTTTTCAATGGTAGGGAAGTAAATGTTCATGGCCACCATGGATTTGTAAGAACACTTTTTGACTAACTCTTCAAATGCTTTATATCCAACTGCCTGAGTTTGGAACTCTGATTGTCCACCCAAGGCTGTATAAAAGCTTTTAAATTATATGTGTTGTCAGAATTGGCTCCTCAAGGAAGTGGAGGAAGCTTGTCTGTACTTTAGGTTTTAAAAATAATGTTACTGCTGCCCATGTCCAATCCCAGAACTCCCTTTAATTTGTGACCTGGAGGCCAATCTATTGGGGTGACATAGATTTTTTTCCCCAAGAATTCAGTCAACAAGCACTGGTCGCCAGAGATAATGGAGTTAGTGGTGAGGTTTCAGAAGCCACAGGGAGTCCATGTGTCTCTTTATCCTGCTGTGAGGTTTGTCTGGGGTGCCACAATCAACCTGTATATACTCCAGTCCTGGAGTTTGAACTCAGGCCTTGTGCTTGCTAGACAAGTGCTCTACCACTTGAGCCAAAGAGCTGGGATTACAAAATTCTCATCACTATGCTTAGCTGATTGGTTGAGATAAGATCTTTATTTCACATAGGACTGGCCTCAAAACACAATTTTCTCAATCTCTGCCTCCCTAGTAACTGGGAATATAGATAGGTGCCACCATACCTGGTCTTAATCTGCACCACCTTCTGGTGTACTCAGAAGTATCCCTCATTTTTTACTTTATACAGGTCTTTATTGAGGTCTGGGTCTGGTGGGAGGGCCGGGAGGGACTAACGGTGGGGAAGGAGAGACATTATAACTAGTGTCTGGAGGTCATGAGGCTGCTTACCAAATGCTTTAAGTCACTTTTCCCAGCACCCCCACATCTGTAGTCTGCTGCCCAATGACACAGTGAGGTGGGTAGTGTTAGGAAAATGGAGGAGAAAGGAAGGAAACAGGCCAGACTCGATCTTCCACAGATGAGGACTGTTTATTGAGATAGAGCAGCGAGGGACACAGCCATCCTGTGGGCTTGGAGACTGGGAAGAAATCTGCATTCCTCATTGGAACATGATGTAGTGAGAACATGGGAGTTGACTAACAGAGAAGAGGAAATAACAGATAGAAATGAAATTGGAAAACTATAACACAGAGCTAAGGATAGGTGTGGCCGGCCGGCCCATGAGTGAACTAGCCATGTATGAAGGGTGGTCAGTGAGTGCTGGCTAATACCTGAGTTTACAAGGCTGTGCAGTGCAGTTGGAACCTTTCTATGGGGCCCTGCAGAGATGATCCGGCTAGAGGACTCGTTCGCCCAGAGCCCATCTCCTGTGGCTATGCAAAAAGTAGGCTGAAACTATAGCACGCAGGGTTGAATAGACCTGGAAAGCAAATTAGTCATCATGGCTGATCATGTGTTTTGGCTCCCATCTTGTAATCTCTGTATATCTTGATATTGGCCCAAAATTAGATGCTAGATTAAACAGTGATTCTGTGGGGTTTTTTTGTTTGTTTTTTTTTGGGGGGGTCCAGTCATGGGGCCTGAACTCTGGGCTTGGGCACTGTCCCTCAGCTCTTCAGCTCAAGGCTAGCGCTCTACCACTTGAGCCACAGCACCACTTCCGG